AATAAAATCATCTGCACCACTTTACTTTATCATGTCAAATACTAGTCATTGATTTTCAGGATTGAACGTGAGAATGAACTCCGTCCAATGTGATCCGTAGCTTTTATCTTTATCATAGCCCTAGTTTTCCATGCTAAAGTTTGTTAGGGACCTATTTGCTGAAGATGGGCATTTTTTGTTCCTCTCATTTGTGATGCCTTGCATGACTCTTCAGAGCATTGAGCATGAGTTGGTTTTCCCATTAACCTTGATTACACAGAGTTGATCATTCGGAGGAACAAAAGTCTACTGAGAACTTGTTTTACACTTTACATAGAAGTTGCATACATTGTTATGGTATTGCTTAAAAGCATTCCCCCAAATTTTCTGTTATGGGCTTTTAGATTCCAGTCAGGACGAGTTGAATCTATCTCACCCTCTCTCTCGCTTGACTCGATAAGTAAAAACTGTGGTCTTGTAGGGTGTTCAGGACCTTATTGTTGTATGCCTTAAAGTATGAGTTTTTGATCATCCTTTTTGACACTCACATTTGTAAAAAGCTACGAATATCTCTATTAATGAATTGTTTTCTTTGTGTTGACAGAGGACCAATTCACAAGACGAGGAGTTGGAGTTGCTTTTCGCAGGGCTTCATATGTGATGCAGGCATGTTGATGTGCAACAAATTTGTTAACTTTTGCTGGTTTCATTTGTAGCTTCAAGTTTGTCCTTTATTTATTTATTATTATTTTTTGTTTTCTGAATTGCGATGTAGCAGATAACTCGCAGATTTTCATGGAAGCTGAAATTTCGGACTGTCATGTTGGATGGTGCCACATCAGCAACCTAACTGCATCAAGTGATCAAGTCCTGTGAATATTTTGTGGTATGCTCTCTGTGAAAAAAGATGGAGTTGTTATGAACTTTTTCGTGCTCCTTGTTTGCCACTTGTGAGCCTGAGTTTGTACTTATTCGAACGGTACATTTGTGATATAGAAACTGGATTTTGGTACATGTTTGAACTGTTATCCTTACCAAGCAACTTATTAGAAATCCAGCATGGATCCATTTTCGCACAATGCTTGTACATTGTTTTTTCATTATTCTACACACAGGTTTCACATTATAAGACAACAAACAACTATACTAACATCACAAAACCAAACAACAAACAACTATACTAACAGCACAAACATTATAAGCGCACGATTTTCAGTGACAATATACTATGATCCATATTCCTTGTCCGTGTTTTCTATAGACGTGAGCGAATGAAAATCTTTCTTCGACCAGTTGGCTCAGGCATCAAGCTCTTGAGAGGGTCATCAAAGGATGATTTTGGGTGTTCTTGTTCACTGTTTCTAAGTGCCGAAACCTCACTTTGTTGCTTTATGTTGTTCATAGCTTCTCGCATTTTTCCCAGCTTGGCTTGCATCTCTTGCACTAGAACAAGTTTTTTCTCGTTTTTGCTGTTAGATTTGTCAGATAGAAGTTGAGTTTTCGGCTTTCCTTTCACAATTGCGTACACCTGCATTCCTCCTGCAGACAGAAGAAACAAGACGAGAAAACATATAATTTAGAGTTTGGTGTGTAGTTACAAAATGGTGGTAATAATTAAAGATGTAAAAGAAGTAAAGAACT